GATCTGAAACCAGCTTCACATTCTGTCTGAAGGATTGGTCCTTAAAAACCTAGTCGAACATGTGCTATAGATGCATTGTGCATAAAAGGGTTAGTTCACCCAAAAATGAAATTTCTGTCATTAATTGCTCTCATGTCGTTCCAAATCCGTAAGACCTTCTTTCATCTTCGGAACACAAATTAAGATATTTTTGATGAAATCCGCGATCTTTCTTACCCTCCATAGACAGCAAGGGTCCTACCATGATCAAGGCACAGAAACGTGCAAAATTAAGCTCAATTAAATGCCACATTTGCATTTGTAATGACTTTCAGCCATTTAAAATGTAGTATTATTATTATTATTATTACAAAAATGTCCATAATTTCCCAAAAGACACCTTTGTCATCTTGTGTCATTTCTTAGAGGTCAGTCTCTGTATGCTTAGGGGCATACAGATTTCGGACAGGTGGATTTTGAAGACAGATGGCGGTGCTCAGTGACCCCTGTCTGTCAGAGCAGATCTGAAACCGGCTTCACATTCTGTCTGAAGGATTGGTCCTTAAAAACCTAGTCGAACATGTGCTATAGATGCATTGTGCATAAAAGGGTTAGTTCACCCAAAAATGAAATTTCTGTCATTAATTGCTCTCATGTCGTTCCAAATCCGTAAGACCTTCTTTCATCTTCGGAACACAAATTAAGATATTTTTGATGAAATCCGCGATCTTTCTTACCCTCCATAGACAGCAAGGGTCCTACCATGATCAAGGCACAGAAACGTGCAAAATTAAGCTCAATTAAATGCCACATTTGCATTTGTAATGACTTTCAGCCATTTAAAATGTAGTATTATTATTATTATTATTACAAAAATGTCCATAATTTCCCAAAAATGGCAGTGTCTAACAAAATGGTAATGCATAAGATGTGCACATATTTCTGAAATTAAAATAAATATTTTCTTTTACTCAAAATGTATTCAAAATATTGTGTTTTAAGTATGGTTTTTCTATTTGATAAGACTTGCAGTAAATTCTGAAACTGACACTTCTGTTTATCAGTTAAGCAACCTTATTTTTGTCGGAAAGAATAATGTCAAAATAGCCAAATATCATCTGATTATTTGGCCCGGCTGTCCATCACTGTATATTATATCAGTTGTTAAAAACATGGCTATCTCATTCATACAGGATTTCATACACGTCACACTATTCCATACAAGTGTGTGAAATGTGAATAAGGGGATTTGATTAAGTCACTTATGTTTGACAGCTGTGAACTGATATATTTTTTGCCCTTTATATTTGAGGCCTTTGTTGATCTGTGGGCATTATTGCGCTTTGTTTAGGGGATACAGACATAATGTGGGCAGCAGAGGAATGTTTGTATTCTATTCTTGTAGATAAATAGCAAGCTGGTGGCTGAAGCAAATGATGACAGAAGAAGCTCTGATGCAATTTTTTCCCATAAATCTATTTTTTATAATTATTATATTATATTATATTATTTTATAATATAATATGTACATCTTTTATTGTATGTTGGGGGTTTGTGAGAGATTTTAGGCAGGATTTCTAGATCAGACAGATCATTAACCCTGAGCAGTCAGCAGTAAGCCTTGTGGTTTATCTTGCCATCTTTTTAATTCACACACTGAGTAATTAGTTTATTTGTCACACCTTAATCTGAGACGCTTTAGATTCTCTCATCTATATCATTATGAGAAACTACCATAGTAGAAGACATTTTATATGCTGATGAGCACTGTCTGATCATTTTACATTTTATTTTCCGTTTATTTGAACTATATTGGCATTAACTCAACAGGAAAATATTTGCAAATACTTAACATGCACATTTTCAGGAACATGTGCATTCATTTCTGGGTATCCTTTAAAATCTACTTCTGTCACCCTGTGGAAAAAAACTCTTATTAGGTTTAATATTTACTCTGGAAATTGAAGGAAATGTTGAACAAACACTCATAAACTCTGAAATAAGGGTCAAATCCAATAGCTAAGGCAAGTCAGAACTTATTGTCGGTCCAGTGGACAAACACGCAATCTCTTGCAGTAAGCCCAAATGAGAATTGCAAAAAGACTTGCTGTGTGGCAGAGTGAAGGAGATGAGATGCTAAGGTGCAACCGTGAGGCTCGTCCTGCTGCATTTCTGTGCCTTCAGAAGTGTGTACTACACAGGTTCACTCTCTCTTAGCACTCATTCTCAACAGGAGGCAGATAAATGCTTAGATGGTCCTGGTGGACCGCTGTGTCTGTCCATTTCTCGTTTTGAACTCATGGCTGCTCAAGGTCAGACTGTGCACTCAAGTGCAAATAACTTTTCTATGGAAGCCTTACACCAGACAGCCCTTGACGAAAATCACACTGAGATGCAAACATTTTAATTTATTTGATCTTTTTCAAATCGTTTGTGTCTTATACATTTTTTATTATACATTTTCAAATGTTTGTTTTTTTAATCTTTTGAATTTTTATATATATTTTGAATTTATTGATTTTTTACATTTTGTATTTTTATTATTATTTTATATAAGTAGTATTTTATATACAAATTATAGACATGTTTGAGAGTCCCTGAAGTCAGTTATTTAAAGATCTAGATTTGTTACATCAGCGCTGGGGAACACAGATTTCAGTCAATGTCAGGAATTATTTTTTTTAAACACTTTGAAGTCAGGGCTGGATTTGGTTTTTGCTTTGAATTTGCTTTTATGAGATCAGCGCTGGCTGAGTGTCAAATTCAAAACCTTCTGGGTAACTCCTGATGAGTAAAAACCCCTGATTGAGAGGCATATTTATCTCAATAACGGCTCCCCTTGAGCCCATGGCCTGGATCAAATTTCTCTAGCAACACAAGTAAAAAGATTATGACACAGGTAACGTCCCTGTGTCATAATGCAATCACCTGAACTGGTATAAACACAACAAATATGATCCTAGATCAGCAGGCCTCTAATGAGATTTGTTACGCATTATGATTATCAAGCCCATAGCGGTGGTTAAGCTCTATCTGGGTCGTGGGTGTCTAGATCATGATTAACCCATGAGCAGCTTGATGGCATATATTACATTCAGAGTCAGACCACCTGTCAGTGACATGAAATGAGTATGACATCACTGCTGTTACTCCTCTGTGGTATCAGCTATGAACTAAACCTGCTTTTATGACTTCAGGTACATTAATGAGGCAAAAACTCATATAGAAGACATGTGAAATTAGTCTTCCTGCTGTTTTAAATTGAGCCGCTCCTTTTAGTTATTACATTTAAAGGAATATTCTGGGTTGTTGTTTTTAACTGAATGGCTATATAAAGCATGACTACAAACAATAATTTCAGTTTGTATAAATTAAATAAACTATGTTTTTGTGAATACTTTTTGTGTTTATATTATTTTAATGTAATTAATTTTTCTAAATTATTGCATATTCTGTTTTTTTTTGTTTGTTTGTTTTTTTGCACTTTTCCCTATTTTTATATTTAGATTACCTTGGCCATCATCTAACATCAGTTATCAGTTATCAGGCATAACATGAAAATTATTATTAGCTTATTGATATTAATTATGGATAATTGGATATCATTAATTACAATATTATTATATATATATATATATATATATATATATATATATAAAGAGAACTGTTCTCTTAAAACAAAAATATTTAATAATCCATAAACAGTTGAAATAAGTTGAAATAACCTGGAATTTTCCTTTTGAAAAAGAATAACAGTGTTATCTCTTGTGATTGTTTTGTTTTTTTGCTGGGACTTACGGGAGTTTTATCTGTGGCTGAAATTGTTCCCTGCAGGAGTTTTGTCAAGGGTGGTGAAATTCTCTAAATTGGTATTTTTCCATAAACCGGCCGTCACTGTTCTCTCAGGGACTGTGTTTTCATAACTCCTTGTTTTCAGATTTAATAGTTTTGCTCTATTCTCATTGACTGTTTTTCTCTGTATTCAAGCAGCCACTAGCATTCACGCTGGGAATATGCTGTTATAGACACAGCTTGAGAGTTTGATCAGAGGCGCGACCTCAGCAGAAGGAAACGTGACCGGCCCCAGGATGTGCATGCGTGTGCGTCTGTGTGGCAAGACGTGCCACAGGATCCACATCCTCTCTGCTTCTGTTAGTTTTTGTTGATCTTCGGGCTAATCAGAGCTCCTCAGAATCAAAAACGCAAAACAGAGATGATTAATTACGGCCAAACACAACATCACGAACTGCTCATGCCCATTCCTTTGGCCTTCCAGCTTCCCCTATCATGAGCTTTACTCATCAGTTGTGGCCGTGTGTGTTTTTAAGACTGGTTTAACTATGGAATTGGAGTAGCAGATCAGGGCTGTGTGTATTTTTGTGACTGTGTTGCTAAACTGAACTGACACTGTGTGGGAACGTTAAGTCTTCTGAGAGTGTAATGTAATCCATCCCCTATGATACTCAGCCTTTCTGATAGTGTTGCTAATTTTATTGCAAACATGTTTGTAGTGGTCAACCGATACTGTTTTTTTGACAGCCAATGCCGATATCTTGGAAAGCAGGGTGGCCGATATAATTGTATTTATTTTAATTAATATTTAAGAAATTTGAAATTTGGGAATCATATTTTTTTCAAAACACTCATTTTACATACAGCACATGGTGAAAATTACATGAATATGTCAGTGGGCAAATGCATAAAGCTCAGCATAATTTGAAATCACAAATTTAATATTTAAAGCATTCAATTCACACGGACCGTCCGTCACGCAGAAAACACGCGATCATGCAGGATACAAATGCACACTTCACAAGATCACAACTGGATTCGACTTAAGTTTGCAAGGTTTGAGAAATTTACATTTTCATTAGCCATTCAAAGATTTGTTGAAATGATGTAAATGCATATTTGCTGAATGAGAAAGTATTATAATGTTTGCCTTTCTATTACTAATAAAAGCAATCGTTATAATACTTTTTGTATACATTTTAATTCCTTTGTTTAACAGTTCTATCTGATTATTAGACAGACTTCTATCCGTATTAGACAGAACAATAGCGAACAAGAGGGAGAATGTGAGCACTGTGTGAAAATAAAAGTCCCGCCTCGATCGCATCGGCCAAACAGAAAAACTTATCGGCCGATTGCCGATATTTGAGAAATGCCAAATATTGGTCGATATATCGGCCTTGGCGATATATCGGTCGACAACTACACGTTTGGCTTGAAACTGACATTTTCCACTACAAAATACTAAATCGTTTTCCATATTTCCGATCAGGAAGGGCGGCACAAAGAAAGCTGTCTGTTTTTCTTTCTGGTGGTATTCAGGCTGAGAGATTCTTTATTCAGCTCAACAAACATTTGTTTTATCGGTTCTCACGTCAATTTAAGATTAATGCCTTACTCAGCCTACCAGAGAAGCTTTATCTACTGTTGTGGTCAAGCGTCTGACGTATATAAGAACTGCACTGAAATGCAAGTCTTAATGGAAAAGTCCATACTGCTCCTCAAACTCAGTCTGATCAACCACATCCATCCTAGACTGAGCCATATCTCTTTCCTGATACACTAGCTCTGCAGAGTGTAGAGATAAGGCTTTGGTCTCATTGATTTATCTGCACTGTTTTCCATAAGACTTAGAGGGCCGGAGCTCTATGGTAATTATGTTGTCTTCATAGATGGGTAATTCGTTTTTGGACATTCATCCTCAGCATGTGGCTTAATTATAAAATGCGTAATTTTTCTTAATTTTACTTATGCAAGATGGGCATGGTTTAGCATACTTGGCTTGCAGCTGTATTTCAGGAGATGTACAGGTTAGTTTTGTCATTATCTAACGCCACGTAACATGAAAATTATTATTAGCTTACTACCATTAATTATGGATAATTGTTTTTAAGAAATTATTATACTATGAATATAAATAATATAAAATATTTATTTATGATACATTTGTAGATATTTTATTTCGTTCAAAATATAAAATACACTATATTGGTAGGATATTTTTTTATGTTTTTTTTAAAACTCTCTTAAGCTCACTAAGGCTGCATTTATTTACATATATTTTAAAATATAACTTATTCCAGCGTTTGCAAAACAGAATGTTAAGCATCCATTACTCCAGTCTTCAGTGTCACATGATCCTTCAGAAATCATTCTAATATGCTGATTTGGTGCTTAAGAAGCATTTCTTATTATTATCAATGTTGAAAACAATTTTGCTGTTTAATATTTTGGTGGAAACCGTGATACATTGAAATGGATTGGAAATTTAAAAGAACAGTATATATTTAAAATAGCTTTTTTTTGTATTTACTGTCACTTTTGATGCTTCCTGTGGTCAGTTTGATCAATTTAATGCATCAAACACCACTGTGCCCCACTTTCAGTTATTAATTTATTCAATGCACTGTATTAACTGTTTTCTTTTCAGCTGTCAGTAACAGGTTTGTGTCACTTATGACAGTAGTGGTGTGAGGTTTGATTAATATAGTCTTAAACTAAGATGATAGACTGTGTCTCTGAATCAGATTAAAGGCAGGAGGTTTGTGTGTCACAGATGATCACATTTTGTGGCTCATGTAAAACACAGGGTAATCCCAGCACAATTCATCATGTTAATCCAGTGTCTTCTGGACAGATTGCATCACCTGCCACCTCTCGTTATTGCACAGATTCGACTCCCAGCTGTAAGTCACTGTGTTGAAGCGATCAGATCTGGGCCAGAGGAGCATCCTTAGCCCAGCGATTGATGCAGCAGCAACACAGGCTCATATTGAAGTTATTTCAGGATCTTAGATGGAGATGCAGGTGTGTGTGTGTGTGTGTGTGTGTGTGACCCTGCATCCTTTATGTGCTGTTGGAGTGTGTCCCAGTCTTTGTCTTATCTGACCCAGCTCTCTTTCCTGTATCCATGTTTTAACACAATGCACAGGAAACAGGAAAGAAGGAAACAGGAATACTCTGGACTTAGACTCTGTCTTCACTTCCCGCATTGCCCTTATATGTCAGCATCAGCCCAGTGTTTCTCACCCAAAATGCAACAGCCAGAATTTAAAGAACAAGAGTAACCGGTTGCAGAATAGCATGTGAATCCAATGAAAAGGTAGCATGTCACCCTATTTAAAAAAATTAATAAATAAAAAAAAAAAAATATATATATATATATATATATATATTATATATTTTTATAAAGATTATTTTAATATATAGCCTATACAAAATGTGACTTCTAAAATGAGGCTAAAATATGACTAACACATTTACACATTAACACTTTCTTACCGTCCCATTTCTCACCAATTCTGACTTTGTAGAAAGCATTTTTTTTGGTTGTCTTGATATGGAGTCAGACTTTCTGTAGTCTTTGCCTGTCCATTTTTCACCGTACACATGAATCAGATTTCTCCCTGCATCCTCATTACTGCTTCAATTAACCTTGAGCTGCACTAAAGTCGATTGCAGAGACTCTTATCATTCCTTTTCATCAACACATCCACCCGCACTGCCCTCTCTTACGCCACAGATATTGTGGATAGCACGCAATCTTACTTCTGCAATTAAACTAATGACTTACAAATATTTCTCAAATGAACCAAACAGAGTCACAGTTTTATAGAACTAATGCGCTCTCTATCCTCTCTCAAGCATGGTCTGTAATTACCGAGAGATAATAGAGAGGAGAAGAGGAGATTGGAAAGAAAAATGGCAGTAGAGAGAGAGAGAAGTCAAAATGAGACAAGGGAATAAAAGTTTTCTTGTCAGATAAGGAGTTTTTTTTAGAAGAGGTGACAGAGGGCAGCCTTGACTGGTTTCGCTATACACGATGCTCGATGTTCAAGCTTCTAGAACAGGGTTCCTCAATTAGTTTTCGCAGAGGACCGAATTCTGCCAACAATACCAAGCCAAGGGCCACTGATATATATATATATAATACTATATAATTATATAATATTTACTATCCTAAATTTACCCCTATATAATTGTTATTATTATTACAATTATTATATTATTGTTGCTTTTGTTAAAATAATCACAAAATGGTCACAAGATGAATATTCAGATGTTTTTCCCCAGTAGTCTGTTTTATTCAAACAATTATGAACATTTTTTTATTTAGATATAGAATAATTATTAGATTTGTCAGTATTAATATTTTTATGCTTAGATTTTTTTGGGGGAGATCAAACTTTAACACCGTTTGTCCAAACCAGACACGACACGATAAAATGTATCTTTTCCATGTAGTTTTTGTCCTAACCACATGCGACAGCGACACATGACAATAAGCAACATGGGATTCTATTTTAGGAACGGTTTTTATTTTCTGCGATGTCACGGCAGGAACAACATATAAAATATGACCGTGATAATCTCAGGTAATGATTATGTGCTTTATTCAATGTTAAAAGTGTCTAATGTTTGAATATTATTTTGCGTTATCTTTATAGCCATAGTGAAAGCAACAGATATTTTACCTCAGATCGTGAAAATAAATTAAAGCAAACTTGTATGTTAAAACTGTGAACTCACTGCGAACCAACACGTGTATTCCACAACAAAGATATCAGTCACTCACTCACTCACTCAAAACTGTTCAGTCCATTCACATTTGAATCACCTATTTTCCGTGTCCACTTTTCTTTTCTACACACTCGCCATGTTTTTGCTGTCACATCGTATCGACACTGGACGCGACAAAGCATTGCTAATCATTTGAACGTTGTGTCAGTACATTATAAATAGAACGAGTCAGCAGTTTACAGTTGGGGATTTGTCGTGTCATGCCGCATCCAAGACAGCATCACTGATTATAACGAGTTCTATTGTATTTTATTGCGTCGTGCCACGCTGCTTGCGTCCGTTGTAGACACGATATAAGTTAATTTAGCTTTCTGATGCTGCGTTTTCATTTTCATGCCACAGCACATTATTTGAAATTAGCGCGGGCCAAACTTTTGTCTCTCACGGGCCGGATGTGGCCCGCGGGCCGCCTAATGAGGAACCCTGTTCTAGAGGAAGAAATTTTTTTAATCTATACATGTACTACACATAGATTCTTAAAAACATTACTTTTCTTTCGTTTTTATACAAAAATTGGTGTACCCAATTAAAAGGCGTAATGGTTTTCTTCTCATATGACAACAAAATGGCATCATGGGAAATAGAATTAAAATAAAAGCAAAAAAATAGAAATACTCGCAAAACCTCCACTGCTGTGTTTTAGTGGGTATCCTTTACTCGGCATATTAAAATTCTGTCCCTCAGATAGTAATTCTCCCTGAAGGCACACAAATTAGATCCTCCCTACCACATCCAGAGTGTTCATTACGAAACCACTTCATAAAGGTTTTATCAGTGACATGAAGAAAACCATCAGTCAATCTCTCAGATCTGCAGTGCACTTGTATACGTCTCCACCCCGGCCATCAGTTCTCGGGTTGATCTGATCAAGGCTTTATAGTCGAGATTAGATTTGTCATTTTTATTTGACTCATTTTGCCAGAGCATCTGTAATCATTTTGGGTGTTAACTCCTCTTAAAAAGGCCTTCGGTCTCAGATCTGACTGAAGACCCAGGGCAGGAATGCTTTAATGGTAACTTTGCAGTGTAGATAGAGCTAGTGCAGGAAGTTCTGGCCTCCACCCAATACTTGGCATCCACGCAAACTGTCAGATGCATCAAAGACCTTTCCCAAACTCTTTATCAGAGCCTAGTGCCAACCTCCAAAAAAACAAATAGTGCTCTTCCTGCAATTAAAAGCATCAACATCTTTATTTAAGTCATGCACATAAGCATACACATGGGAGCAACCTCACATTGTGTTCTACTTGCCATGTTCATGTCTTCGTGAATCACGTTATCCATGATTCCCTCAAGAAAGTTACATTAAAGTCAACATGATTTTAATAACGTTCATAATGTGACATATTTTAGAGAGAAACAGGATGTTCAGTGAGATGATAATGTAGGGCGGGACTTGACTGAATTGTGAAAAGTGTCTCTACGTGAGTAACATGGTTGT